GAGACTGAAGAGCTGCAGGACCCTTTCCACAACAGTGCTGCCCTTCCCCCATAATGGCCCCCTGATGATTTCTCTTGTTGTACGTATTGCGACGAGATAAATCTATGAGTATATTGCATGTGAGCAACCTCTGTGACCAAACAGGTGCCAAATGTTGAGCGATTGAGACAGCCGACATGTCACTGCACCCCTGGAAATGCTTGCAAGTCCCACCGGCTATGTGGACATGAAATCACATGCAAGCGATGTATAAATAGCTCGTATTTGCAAGCAAAACAGTTCAACCCTAGAAGCACCACTCGTGCATGATCGATTGTGGGCGAGAAGTGCAGTGTCCCCCCATTAACAAACCATCGGGATGCAATGTTGCACTGTCAGTGTGAATCACCAATAGCTCCTCATGTTACTCATCCACTACTGTTCTTTTAATGGTAGCAACAAACTGTTAACATTGGTCTGAGGTACAGAATTGTACATGGCAAAGGGTGCCTTTGTAGTCTGCATATTGAACTTCGTCTTACAAAACAACTCATTTGCTGTCAAAACAAACTTTCTTAAAAATGATTCCTTTTTAAGAAAGTCATTTGCTGTGAAAACGAACTTTCTTAAAAAGGATTCCTGCTGCTTAACTTTTCTCAGATAGCCCTGTGCTAGCACTTGTCCTGAGAATCTGTCAGGCACCCCAGTGTCACTTGAAAGCAAGTTTGCATGACCTCGGGTGGAGAGCACCACTTTAGGAGAATAGCGTGCTTGTTTCGAGCAAATTGGTGAGTCTTCTTCTTGTGCACAGATCACCTGGATCCCCCCCTCCTCCCCAGGACGCAGCCACGGAGTGACTCCCCAAGGCGACGCAACAGGGATGAACCCACAGTGGTGGACATCCTCGCTGCCCAAAGACAGGTGCTGGCAGCGCAGCAGGAGACTGCAGCGGCTGTCAACCGCTTGGCCAATGCAGGTATTCTGATCATTGTTTATTGTCACATCATTGTCACGTGTTGTGGCCTCTTAAGGCTAGGTAGCAAACTTTGTTACCCTTATCAATGCTTAAGGTCACAGTGTTGCATTTGCTTCCTTCCGTGCCAGTGGAGGGCACTTGGCCGCCCTTGCCGACCTTCTTTTGTCTTTCCGAGATGCCGAGCCACTGAAGCGGGCGTTGACAAGCTTCCACAGAGGCCTATGCTGAGGAGAAGGGACGCAGTAGCATCTAAAGTGGCAATTACCTGTCCTGCTATGGTAATGATGAAGTGAAGAGAACGGAATAAGAGCAGACGAAAACTGAAGGTCGGTTAGGGCGGCACCCATGTACAGCGGCCTGAAGGCATCTACAGAGCGCTTACGACAGTATAATCTACCCAGTAAATACACGTCTGGGTATTTTACTGGATTTAGTGGTGCGACGAAAGAAAGGAAGAGAACATGTCCAAATGCAATAATTAACAACAAATATGCTCTTCACTACAATTGGGCCGTACCAGCGAGCTGTACCGAACACCTAGCACCTATGTGACTTCTGCCACTGTGGTTCCCATTTCTAGAGCATTTATGACTATTATAGTTAAAATAAATTGGAAAACTGCTATTTTATTTCCATAAATCAATACCTTGCATCTGTTGGATTATGCTGATACAAACGCCTTGGCCACCAGTGGTGCTGAACTAAACTGGCGTGTCCCTCGAGTCAGTAGAGATATGATTCTGATGGTCGAGGAGTTCGGAAAACACTTGTTTTCGTCAATCTCTTATCAAATGCAGGATTATTCTTGCATTGAAGTGAGACACTCTAAAACCCTACCTACACTTTGCTACATTCTTCCCAGCCATAGGTCATGGCAATTTTCTCGTACAAGACCTTGTGTTGTATGGTCAGAACCAGCATACTGTAACGAGTTTCGGAATTCCATTAGAGTTTCATTTTAAATGTACCTTCGGAAAATAGCTGGAGCAGATGGTCTACTGGGTGAAATTCAGGCTTAGCACTCTGGTCGAAGGGTGTGTATCTCCTTCCACTTTGACTCGTCTTCTTTCCCCCAGTTGCTACCCACATTGTACAGTAATGCCTCTTTGTACAAAGGACGCAGCAAATGTTATTAAAAGACATATAGCTATAAACTTACAAAATGTTGCATGACTAGGGCAAATTGGCAGAATACATTTGTTTCACATAGTTCGATTGCCTATTTGCATTGTACATCTCTTTGCAGGCCATGGAGGCGCAGACGACTGCACTGCAAGCGCAGACCACTGCACTGCAAGCACAGTCTTGTGCAGTAGGCAAGATTGCAGACTTTATCTTTAGCAAAGGAAGTGAGTAAAGAAAGTGTAAAAGGAAAAACAATGTGTTTGCTTCGCTTCATGTAATTCCAAAACTGATAATGAAAGCAAGTGATAGAACCAAGCGCCTCAACAAGCTCAAGCAATTGATCCTTACTCTGGAGAAAACTTTGGGCAGACTGCAGCAAATGCTGGAAGTCATGCAGACCCGACTAGCCAGGCTTGGGACTAACGCTACACACGAAAGCTTTACAACAGTCTACCATGTATCCCAATGAACGCACCCGTAAAGTGTTGATGGCAACAACGCCAGCAACACTGCAGACAATCTCTAACCACACCACTCCGTGTGCACCCACCACCCACCTTCATCAAGACATCCTGATCTGGCAATGGAATTGAAGGGGTTTTGAAAGCAAGAGATGTGTCCTGACAGATTCCCTGGGGACAATAAAACAAAAACCAGACATAACACGCTTACAGGAGAACATGGGCACACCGAGGTTGACAGGGTATAACACTTACAAGCCTACAACAACACAGGGAACGGCGGTGAGTGCCGCCACCCTGGTTTTCAAAGTCCTCATGACCCAAGACGTCAACCAGCACAATCAGGAGCAGCTTAGTGCCATAACAATTAATGTCCCACAGCCAATGCACACAGGCAAAAAGGGACGAAAATTGTATGATTGTAATGTGTCTGTCCAGTCCACCCAGAGCCTACATAGAAAACTTGAAACCCGTATTTGGGAAAACTATGCATAAGGATGCCAACAGCATTATACCGTATTTACTCGCATAATGAACACCCCCCACAACACATATGTAGTGTGTAAGCTAGCTCTATTTAGGGCAGCTATGGGCAATGGTTGTCTTGGAATGCAACGCTGACAGATGAGCGCATCGCTCTTTGCCAAGTGCTGTCGGCACGCTTCGGTCTTTGCCACGTGCCGTCTGCATCACGACAGCCAGGATGTCATGATTGGTTGTACCGCATTTACATTGTTGAAGGAATAATAAAAGGGGCAGCGCTCGGGGAGCGCGAGGGATTTTGCCTGAACCGCCACCTCGACAAGATGTCTCCTTGATCGGACCTATTGACGGTTCATGTCCCAAGTCGGAATCACCGGGCCGTTCCACGGCATAGAACCACGCTTGACAACTTGATGAGTTGTGCCTTACTGGCCACCCTTTGTCATTGGTAGTCAGCTCAGCATAGACTTTAGATCAAGTATGAGACAAGGCGGCGTTATGTGCGGACCAGGGGCATTCCCCCTTAACCCTTTAAGGGTTTATGACGACCTCAGCTCGTCACGAGCGATTGCCACTTTTTTGCTTATGACGAGCTCACCACGTCATGGGTACTTTGCTACTTCCTAAATGGCTGTTGACGAGCACAGCTCGTCAAGTAGCATTTTCTGTTTAAAAACATTGATGGCAGCACTTTCTTTCATCCACGCTTTTCTTGAATGACAGTTTTCACACTAGATGGCAGCAGACGTTCCTTGTATGCTCTCCTTGTTTTGTGCGTCTCGCCCTGTTCGCATGAGATTTTCCCGCGCTTTCAAATAAACATGGCATCATCCGTGCGTCGTTCTAGTGCGGTTGATTGTCATTCGTCAGATGATAGCGGAAGTGATGAGGATGTTGACTTCGATTTTGATTCTTCAAGTGAAGAAGATAGTGACGACAGTCTCAACGACAGCGAGTCAGATGACGAAGAAAGTATCGATGAAATGATCGCCAGCTGCCGTGCGTGGTGTCGCATAGACCTCAACAATATTCCAGCGAGACCTCCACGGTTTCAAATCAAGGGTTCATCGGGACTGACGTTCACAGTAAGCTCACCCCCACAGCCACTAGAGCTTTATGAGGCTTACTTCGATGATGAACTGCTTGATGTTAATGTAGCTGAGACAAACAGGTACGCATCTCAGTTGCTGAATTCAAGGAACCTGGGCAAGCATTCTCGCTTCCGAAAATGGTTCCCTGTTACGCGTGAAAAGTTGCGTGTTTGTTTTAGCCTCTTGATACTGCAGGGCATTGTAAAGAAACCAAACGAAAGGCTGCACTGGTCGAAAAGCCGCCTGATTGAGACCCCTGCCTTTGGTGAGATAATGCCTGGGAACCGCTTCGAGCTCGTCATGAGAATGCTTCCCTTCGTTGACAACACGACCATCCAGAACTTGGAAGGACACCCTTAACCTCTGCTCCGAAAAATCTGGCCAGTGTATCAGGAGCTTGTGAAGAAGTACCGTACATTGTACGTGCCTGAGCGCGACATAAGTGTCGACGAAAGCTTGTTGCTTTTCAAGGGACGGCTCAGTTGGAAACAGTACGTGCCTCTAAAAAGAGCCAGGTTCGGCATCAAGTCATTCCTGCTGTGCGAGTCGGAAAGCGGCTATATATGGAACTCTATAATATATACGGGAAAAGGCACCGACCTGGAGACCTCGTCGGTAGCAACGGAAAGCTTCGGAATGGGAACAAAAGTTGTAGTGAAGCTTGTGGAGCCTCTCTTGGACAAGGGCTACTGCATCACTACAGATAACTTTTACACGTCCCCAGAGCTTGTTGACTTCCCGCTCAAAAGATCAACCGATGTTTATGGCACAACACGAGTGACACGCAGAATCTTCCTCCTGGCCTAGCCACCACAAAGCTCAAGAAAGGCGATATGCTGGCCTTTCAAAGGGGCAAGTGTTTGCTGATACAGTGGAAAGACAAAAAGCTGGTAACGGTTTTATCCACTGTGCATAGTGCTGAAATGGTACCATTCATTGACAAAAGGGGCAACCAGCTCATGAAGCCTGAAGCTATCTTGGATTACAACCACACAATGGGTGGAGTGGACAGGGCAGACCAGATGCTGTCTAGCTACTCAGTGCCACAGAAGCGAAAGAAGATCTCGTACAAGAAGATCTTCCAGCACTTGTTGGATGAAGCGACATACAATTCATTTGTCCTCTATCAGAAAGAAGGAGGCCGAGCATCCCACATGGATTACCAGCTGCAACTTATTGACGAGATCATCACCAAGTATTCAGGGAATGGCAGTGCCAAGAAGAAAGGGCGGCCAGGATGCCCTCTGAACATGAAGCGGCTTACTGAGCGCCACTTCCCGTCGCACATCCCGCTGACAGAGAAGAAGCGAGAACCGACACGCCGCTGCATCGTCTGCTACATGAAGAGAGACAGCAAGGGCAAGAACATCCGCAAGGAAACTAGGATCTGGTGTAGGTGGTGCGAGAAGGCCTTGTGCGCAGTGCCGTGTTTTGAGCGCTACCACACCGTTGGTAGTCTCCAATAGTTGGGAGGGGATCAACGGAGGAAGAGTGCATTTTGTGTATTGGTATACATAACCAACCCTTTCTTACCGGAGTTCAAGCAATGAACAATACACAACGGCCAATAAACATTATTATCTGCTGGAAAACGTTTGCAAAGGTGTTTTCGTCTTTTAGACATGTTATTGAAGCATTTCACGTCATAAAAAAACTGAGCCATGTTGGTGCATTTTCTTTTTTTTTATTGAGCCCTTAAAGGGTTAAACATAACAAGGTACCAATATTTCTACTTTTTTTTTTTTCTCCCTAGCATAATGAATGCAACTTCAATTTTCGGCTCCGCAAGTCTCGAGTTGCGTCCAATTTAGCTAGCCAACAAGCCAATTTTCTTCTGCTGCCAAGCAGTCAGGCCAAGTCAAGCCAAGCCAAACTGCTCTCGTAATGGCTGCAAGTGTGAATAGTTGTGGCCATTATGACCCCGGCGACATTCACTAAGGTGATGCAAAAGGTTCTTGAGGGAATCTCTGGGGCGAGCCACTACTTTGATGATGTCTTAGTTGCCAGTGACGAGTGGGAGGAATGGGAGGAACACCTGGCTACATTGAGAGAGGTTTGAAAGTAAAACATTTGGCAGAAATCTGCCTGGTTGGGTAAGAACAATTAAAAGAGGGGGAAGGAACGCCAACCAAAAATAAAAAGGAGCCCAACGTTTCGAAACCTGCTTGGTTTTTTCTTCAGGGGCGACTAAGTGCGCGAGGAGCAAGTGGTCTTCTTTTACGGCGGTGGACGTGATGTTTTCGCGATCGTAATGTGGCTGAACCCGCTGACGTAGGCGGATGGTGAAGCGCCAAGCGACCGATTGATGTTTTGCGGTGTGGTTTGGATGTGCCATGACTGGACGAAGAGCCTCTGCCGGGAATTGGTCTCAATGTCGAGGATGCGTGTGTTGTCGAAGTCAATGCGGTGGTCATTCGAGTCACTGTGTTCCGCAACCGTGCTGAGCTCATGATCCAACTTTCGCACGTCGGTTTTATGCTGGCAAAGTCTTACTTTAAAGTTTTTGGTTTCGCCGATGTATGTGGCAGGGCGATCCGCACAAGGAATCTGGTAAATAATGCCTTGCGCTCTTTCCTTGGGGGGACGATCTTTTGGTCGGGGCATCAGGTGTCCAAGCGTTGACACTGGTTTGTGGGCCATCTGAATGCCTTCTTTTGCCAGCACATGTGCGAGCGCTTCCCTGGTTGCCTTTATGTAAGGGACGCAGATGAACGTGGTTGAGCGGGGATGTGCGATTTCTTGTGTTTCGCCGATTGGTCTTAGGCGTCGATCAGACTTACGTTGACGACGAGCGATTCGCTGAATAAAACTATGCGTGTAGCCATTATTTAGCAGGTCGGAGATGATGGTTTCTTCTTCCTTTTTTCTGTAGTCCTCTGACGAGCAAATAGTCTTCGCTCGGCACAGGAGTGCCTGGACGACCGACGCCTTGTGGCTCGCAGGGTGGTTTGAGTCAAATCGGAGGTAGCGCCCAGTGTGTGTCGGTTTTCTGTATACTGTGAATTCCAATTGATCTTTTTGTCTTTTGACCAGCACATCAAGGGGATACGGCCCATTCGTCACATGTCGATTTGTCATAGGGCACCTGGTAACAGGCCCGTTCGTCACAGCGGAACATTGGTCATAGGGTGATTCGTCACGCTGGCAGTTCGTCACACAATGACTTCAAGATTGTTAAACGTTTTTTGTTTTTTTTTTTCTATCTTGTTTTCTCCGGAAAGCTACAAAAGGGGGCCACTTAATTAAATCAGTACAAGGCCAGTGAGGTTGACGACGGGAAACAAAAGCATGTTCCAATGACCCCAAGTTAAGGCAGCATGCAGCCTTTAGCCTGCATGTTGTCTTATCGGGGTCACCTTTCTTACAAAAGAACTTCGAGAACATAAAGTTCACAATAAAAAAAAACCCACCAAACGCGATTCTTTTTTTTTTTTTTTTTTTTGTGCCCCGTTTTAGGGTTTACTATGCCGGTTGCCCTCCGATTATAAAAATATCACTCTCGATTTCTAAATGGAGATAGTTACTACTAAGAGAGGTGGCGATATGCTTCTTCACAAAAGACATTCACTTGCATTAAGTTTTACGAAACTACGTTGTATTGGGCCTGCCGGCGAAGAGGAGTTTGTAAAACTAAAATAGTCACCGATCACGCCAAGACTCGTGTAATCTCTTATTCAGGAGACCATACGCATGCATTTGACAACACCAAGATAAACGTGCTTGGGTTCGTCATGAGATGAAGGAAAAAGCTGGTATGTACCAAAATCTGTTCCTGCTCTTATATTCCCAAAACAAGGTCACTAATGTCCTTTATTCCAGTGGAAGGCCGTCTAGCACCACACCAAATACTTCTAGCTGCGGTTGCCTGTGACAGTGACGACACTGCTTTGCAGATTCCCGCACCGCCAACACTTCGGCGCATCATCCGCAAGGAAAGGCAACAGGCGAATTTCGAGTACAGCGTATCATCTTGCAGGGCAGACATACAATCGAATGCCCACAGAGTTCAAAGTAAAGTGTATTGCAGCGCAAAATCACAGTGCACGACATATTATGATAATAACGACTGTTTTACCTGCATGCAGACCACTGCCAAAGGAGACTCCTTCCTCCTCCACGATAGCGGAGAGGGCGACGGCGAAAGAATCCTGATCTTTGCTACCGAGCGCAGCTTGAGCTGTCTGGCTCAGGCGACTACGTGGTTCGCGGAAGGGACCTTTAAAGTGACGCCGGCACAGTTCTACTAACTGTACACGGAGCATGCCAGAGTCAACGGCGTGGTAAAGCCAATGGTTTACGGCTTGCTGCCCAACAAATCTGAAGCTACCTACAAAAGGTGAGCATTCAAGAGCTCTGATAAACGTATAAAACGAAACGCTCGGTGGTCCTATTATTGGGTATGTGTTCAAACACTTCAAAATATGCTCGCTCGTTTTAAGGTTTTTCGACGTTGTTCTGAGTCACATGGGGGGCCAACTGCCTTGAGGTGGCTTACACGGACTTCAAGATAGCGGCCATCAACGATACAGGGATGCTTTTTTCACTTATCCCAGTCGGTGTATAGAAAGGTGTGCTCCAGTGGTCACCAGAGTCGCTACAATTCAGACGACGAGTTTGCTGTTCTGGTATGGGGCATTCTATTTATATGTCTCATTGTTGTCTTCAGGTAAGCCAATTTGTTACTTTATTCCTTGTTGATTTTCAAATGGGAATGCATCCAGCATTGGCCTTCTTGCCAATCGCCGACATTCCCGAAGCCTTCAAGGAACTTCTCGAGGTTTTCCCCACCGATGCCTCACTCGTGGCGGACTACTTCGAGGATGTGTATATCGGGAGACCCCGTCGAAACGGCTTGTCGTCGGCCACCTCCCCTCCTCTGGTTTGGTCAGTCGGAGAATCAACACTAGCAGAAAGGCCAACAAGGACGAACGACAGCATCGAAACGTGGCTCCGGGGACTGCACATAAGAACTGACCTAATCCTCTGAGAACTTGGACGTTTTCTGTAGCACATTTTTGCATTTGTGGCTCAAAATTTTAGTACGGTGCCCACTCAAAAAGCTTTCTCCCCGAGTGTGTGTGTTCTTTTTTCTTTTTATCCTTAACAGAGATGAAGCTGGCTCAAGCAGAGTGCGGCACGACATCTTCGAGGGTGTCCAAGAAGCACGACGACAGCAACCGGCGTCTTCAAATTATTGTGAGCCGCTACAAAGGTCGCAATCGTCTAGAAACCCTAAGGGTGGCAGCTCGGGATATCGCTTTTTAATTTGTTTTTATTTCGCTCAATAAATCTATTGTTTTCTAAGTACAACGATGACTTGTTTGGATGTTCCCTCTCTTTAGCAAAATTAAATATACCGTACTAATTTTTATTGCGTGCATAGCCAGGTGAATATATGTTGGGCAAATTCAAATATCCGGTTCGCACAGTGACAAACTTTCCTAGGGACAAATTCCCCTATGAAGAATGTTCCCCTGTGACAAACTGGCCTATTACCAGTTGGCCTATGACGAATGCGCACATGACAAACGGGCCTACACCCCACATCAAGAAACGGCAGGGCATTGTTCTTTTCAGATTCAACGGTGAACTGGATGGTTGGCTCGATGGAGTTGAGGTGTGCCAAAAAGTTGTTCACTTCTGACTTCTTCATAATTATGAAGAAGTCAGGGGGGGGTTCCGCGCAATTTCTTTTACACCGGCAATTATCAGTAGTTGATTTTAAGAGGTACATTTTACGCGTATGTATATCGCCATGTGTCCGTCGCTGTGTGTTAATGCATAGCCGTGTGTTCATCGCCATTACCACGGCGCATGCACCGGCGAGCACAAATCTGAAAAACAAAATGCTTGTGCCAGCTGCGAAGTTGTGGGGGTAGAACCCAGGTTCCTGTGCTCCTAAAGTATTAATCCACTCGGCCACGAGTCTTTATATTCTCTTTAATACATGGAAATAAAGCGGCTGCAGAATATCAGGTCAAACGCTCATTAACAAGACAACTAAGGAGCATGGCCGGGGGGGGGGGAGCACGAGCTTTGATGCCCTCTCCCCTTCTCCCTCGTAGTCTATGCCTATGGTCTTTAATACATACTTTAGCTATTTAATAAGTTATATCGCAACGTTATTAAGCCCCTCGTAAAATGTTTGGCCGTCTGTTCGTCTATAGGACACTGTACGTCGAACTAAAGTTTTGGGGTGCATTAAATGGGACCAAAGGGTGCAAGGTGATACCCTTTTTTTTAGAGTGTAGTGAACTGTTTCTTTTTGGGTGGTGAGGGTCTTGACGTATACATAAGAACGTTCGTTGTGCAAATAAACTATACCCGTTTTCTCAAGAAAAAAAGAAAGTTTTGAGCATTGTTCGCATGCGCGACGCAAAGTCTTACAAGATTTGGTTGTCGGAGAAAAAAGCAATGATTTTGGCGCTGGAATGTGTACGTCTTGATAATATATATAGTAGAATTCACCTACATATATCTCAATTCTCCACATAAAGGTGAAAATTAGTGATGGTTCGCGAGGAGTTGGATTTTTTTTT